CGACGCCAGCTGCCGCCCCCACCACCATCGAGTCTAATATTTCCAGCAACTGAAGACAATCGAGAGGAGCTGAGACAATACCTTCTTGATCGTTACAAATCTAGCACATTCAACACGTGCGAACACCAACCACTGCCGATGATGGAAGGCCCCGCGCCTCATCTAATTGTGGACCAAGATGCCGAACCCGTAGCAGTACATTCTCCCGTGCCTGTACCCATCAATTGGCAAGACGACGTTAAAGCTGGATTGGACAGACACAGACGGCTTGGCGTACTATTTCACAACTGGACTAAATAAATTTGGTCTGTCATCCCTAATTCAGGGCTAGGTTGGTCCCGACTGCTCTACATGACTTACAAATGCGCGAGGCGGACGAGGCAGTTTAGACGCAGCGCCACCTTGTTCCTGCGCTTCATTTCAAAGATATTTCCCAAGAACCCGAAAAACCACAGAAACCAAGCAAAATATAGGAGATTGCTCAGTTCCACAAACCTCCAAATCGAAAATGGACATCGCCCCTGGCGCGCCCCCTGGCGATCTTCAAGGATTTGGATTTGTATCTGCTCGCCAGGGCGGCGCACGACACAATCAAATTCAAATCGTTGCTTAGGCACCACCTAAGGATTGAACAGAGACAAGATTGAGCGAGAACATTCAAAACGAACCAACATGGAGACGTTATGTTTGGCACCATATCCTCGCTTTCCCAGATGGCCAGCCAAAATCCTAGAACAGAAGGTAGAACTACTGAATCACCGGTATCTACCGGTGTATCACCGGTGTATCACCGCTGCTAAAGCCTCCAAGTGGAATTTTCGTCTTCATACATAGCAAATGAGCCACTGTCTCTTCTTGTATTTATAAAGCTATATGTGCATTTTTCTAAAATTGTACCCTGATTGTAAAACTGCCCATGTATCAGTGGTCTAGAGTATGGGACAGTGAAGGTAGAACTACTGAATCACCGGTATCTACCGGTGTATCACCGCTGCTAAAGCCTCCAAGTGGAATTTTCGTCTTCATACATAGCAAATGAGCCACTGTCTCTTCTTGTATTTTATTTATAAAGCTATATGTGCATTTTTCTAAAATTGTACCCTGATTGTAAAACTGCCCATGTATCAGTGGTCTAGAGTATGGGGCAGTGACTTCCAGGCATGTATCACCGGTCTAAAATATGGGACAGTGACTTACAGCCACTTACGACTTAGTGACTTAGTGACTTAGAGTATAGGACAGTGACTTAGTGACTTCCGACTGGTTTGGTAAGATGTCACAAATGGTCAAGACGTCTGATGGCAAATGGTGTATGTTTTCTTTTTCAGAAAAATGTTGTAATGGTGTGCTACTATCCGGATCTCAAGGAGCGCAGGCAGGTGCCAGTCGGTGAAATCCGGCCACTGCCTGCCAAGTTGCCTAAGTCGGCCAAGTCTGCACTCAAAAAGGCCTACCAAGCGGCACAACAGGCATGTATCACCGGTCTAAAATATGGGACAGTGACTTATATATCACGTTTATAAAGCATCATAGTTTATCTCCCAGCACGGATATATGCGTATTGTTGATTGCAGCCCGAAGAATCAGGCCATGGTAGCACTCCCAAGCCAGGTACCAGTACTGGTGATATAACCAGGTCAAGAAGGGGCAGCAAGATGGGGTCTCAGGCAGAACAAGGAGCAGACAAGAGCAAGAACAGGAAGGAAGAAAGTGAGTACTTGTGAAATACTTTCTCTAACTGAATTTTCCCAGCACGGATGTACCGGTGATAAAATGCTGACCATTTGTGCCACTTTTTAGTCTTGTTCGTGTCGATATAATTGGACTAGCTGGTACGTGATCCTCGTGAAAGAGTGCATGTGTCAATGTAATCGAATTAGCTAGTCTTGTTCGTGTCGATATAATTGGACTAGCTAGTACGTGATCCTCGTGCAAGAGGGCCTGTGTCGATGTAACTGAATTAGCTAGTCTTGTTCGTGTCTATGTAATCGAATTAGCTGGGAAGTCCGCGTTTCTCTCTGTAATCAAATAATGTCTACTACAAATGTCGCGGTGGTGTAAACGACGCATGCGTGACGCATGCGTGGTTCGCGGTCGTGCCTGACTATATAAGCCGAGAGCCGGGGAGAATCGAGGATTTTAACTATTATCTTATTATTACTATTATCTTTATATTATCATTTCTATTTTAACGATGTAGTTAGTTAAGTTGGCATGAGCAATGCATCATTGGTAGCACGTCACTGTATGTTAATGATACGCTATAATAATTAAGAGTATTCTGGCGACATGTTACGCTAGAGTGATTATTGCGTGCGCATGTATGTGTATGTGTGCCTGTGTTCGCATGTGTGTGTGCGTGCCTGCGTGCGTGCGTGCGCATGTATGTGTGCGCATGTGTACCAGGCAGTCAGGCGCTGTGTGGCATGTATCGTGCGAGTAGCGAACGAAAATAAAGCAAACGCCGTGAGAATTTGATATAATACCGACTGTTTCTTAATCGATGATGCTAATGCGTGATGATGATGACGTGCATGTATGCACACAAAGCACTCACGCACGCGGTCACGTATACATATGGAGAGCCATCCTCTTCAGAAATCATTTTCAAACATTTCAAACACACAATTTTAAATCAATGTAAAACATTTCAAATTAATTAATAAAAATAAAAATAATTATATATTGTTCGAGAAATTTAAATTCAAAAATTAAAATCAATTCACAGAATAACAAGCTCATAACGAGCTCATTTAACAATCAATTTATGCAACTTCCAATCTATTCAAGACCTCTGAAATCACTTACTAACGTTTACAATTTGCCACCCACTCTGTTGTTTCTGGTCCGTGTGCAAAACTATTCAGGAAACTTCGAATCAATTCATAGGACTTGCAATCTATTCACTTCAATTTCCGAACCAACCAACTACAACCCTTTGGGTATACGCCGAAGCCGTATAATCGCTGAATTGAGCAGTTCTGCCCATTGTACGAGGGTTTCCAGGTACCTAGACATTTGCTAGAAATGCTCCCAATTCTTTGTTCGCTACTAGGCGCTCTTTCTTTGCTGTAATAACGGAGTTTCCGTTTATTGTTCACATGACTGTACATGAGTGTACATGAGTTTAGTACATATGGCGTGCCATAGATGGCGCAACGACACTATAAGCGTAGCATTTGCTTAGCACTTTTTCGCGTGTGGCTCGGCCGGCTATAACTTTAGACTGCTCCCCGGTTGACAGTTCCACACGCTACACTAACTGAACGCACACTAATTCTTATGGCATGAGAACCTCCGTTATGGCGGCAGAGTAACAAGACGTGTGGTCAGGTTGACCATCTCGTCACTCTGATCGCTCTCATGAACAACGAACTGACGAAGTCCGGCCGCAACCCCGTCGACTTCTTACGTCGCCTGGACGCCGACGGCGCCCTCTCTCGGGAGGAATTGCAAAAATACATCATCGAAGCGTTCGGTCTGACTTCGTAGGCAGAGAAGGAGGAGGAGGATGGGGAGGAGAAGGATGGGGAGGAGAAGGAGAAGAAAGAGGAAGATGGGGAGAAGAATGAGGAGGGGGGAGAAAGAGGAGGAAAAGAGGAGGAGGAAGAGAAAGGGGCGAGTAGGACGAGAAAGAAGAGAAGACGGAGGAAGAGGAGGAGCAGGAGGAAGAAAAAGAGGAGGAGTAAGAAGAAGAAGAAGATTGAGCAGATGTTAATGCAATGTAAATATGAAGTAGTGTAAAATCAGTACCTATGTATATCTATAATTATAGCCTATATCTGTGACAATAGCTGTATATAAAGAAATCCCCCCGGCGCTACGACTGCCATGGGAGTAATTCAATTACGACGGGTACTGTGTCGATGCTATGTGTCGACGTTCTAACAGTAATCGAGTTACAGTTTCCAGCTCTACTAGGTCGGCACGTGCCGCGACTCCCTACCGGAGTCGTGAAAACAGTGCCCATGTCTATGTAATTGAATTAGCTAAGGTGTCCGCGTTTTCCCTATAATCAACAAGGCACGTATCGATGTAATTAAATTAACTAGTCTTGTTCGTGTCGATATAATTGGACTAGCTGGTACGTGATCCTCGTGAAAGAGTGCATGTGTCGATGTAATCGAATTAACTAGTCTTGTTCGTGTTAGTATAACTGAACTAGCTAGCTCGTGATCCCCGTGCAAGAGGGCCTGTGTCGATGTAACTGAATTAGCTAGTCTGGTTCGTGTCTATGTAATCGAATTAGCTGGGAAGTCCGCGTTTCTCTCTGTAATCAAATAATGTCTACTACAAATGTCGCGGTGGTGTAAACGATGCATGCGTGACGCATGCGTGGTTCGCGGTCGTGCCTGACTATATAAGCCGAGAGCCGGGGAGAATCGAGGATTTTAACTATTATCTTATTATTACTATTATCTTTATATTATCATTTCTATTTTAACGATGGAGTTTGTTAGGTTGGCATGAGCAATGCATCATTAGTATCACGTCACTGTATGTGATACGCTATAATAATTAAGAGTATTCTGGCGACATGTTACGCTAGAGTGATTATTGCGTGCGCATGTATGTGTGTGTGCGTGCCTGCGTGCGTGCGCATGTATGTGTGTGTGTGCCTGTGTGCGCATGTATGTGTGTGTGCGTGCCTGCGTGCGTGCGCATGTATGTGTGCGCATGTGTACCAGGCAGTCAGGCGCGGTGTGGCATGTATCGTGCGAATAGCGAACGAAAATAAAGCAAACGCCGTGAGAATTTGATATAATACCGACTGTTTCTTAATCGATGATGCTAATGCGTGACATGCACACAAAGCACTCACGCACGCGGTCACGTATACATATGGAGAGCCATCCTCTTCAGAAATCATTTTCAAACATTTCAAATACACAATTTTAAATAAATGTAAAACATTTCAAATTAATTAATAAAAATACAAATAATTATATATTGTTCGAGAAATTTAAATTTAAAATTTAAAATCAATTCACAGAATACCAAGCTCATAACGAGCTCATTTAACAATCAATTTATGCAACTTCCAATCTATTCAAGACCTCTGAAATCACTTACTAACGTTTACAATTTGCCACCCACTCTGTTGTTTCTGGTCCGTGTGCAAAACTATTCAGGAAACTTCGAATCAATTATCTTTGCAGCCTAACCCAAAGAAGGACGGAGCACTCTACGAAATGACAAGGAGATACTTTGATAGGAATTTCCTGAGCCGCCCCTTCGAAGACCAGCCACGTGGCCATCTCCAGGAGGGAAAAAGTGGAAGCTTTGCCCCTAAAACCAATGACGAGCTTTCCTGGAGAGGGATGATACGCCGTGTATATATATCTACTATTTTTGCAATTCCTGTACAATGAGCGGTCCGGACCTACCAGCCATCTCTACCTCTACACATGTTACAAATCACGGAGTGTGAGAATGGATCGGGAGCGTATAGCAAGTTCATTTTGACTGGGGGCGCAGCCTGCATGGTTTGTCTTCTTGGCAGAGGGAAATTTGTGGATGGCAACTGACTCTCTTGCCCCGCCGCGAGCTACGACTCATACCGCCGTCTCTTACCCGGAGTCTCATCTTGAATTTGTACTTCTGATTTGTTAGGTTATCAGTCGTCGCGTCGCCGCCCTACTCCCTATCCAGTCTACTCGTCGAACGATGCTGTCCGACACAAGCTGACATTTCATGACAAAATATCTACATTCAAGGACAACCAGACAGCGCTCATATCCGCCCTGCGAGCAAAGAAGGCAACCATCGAGCTGCTCTTGGCCACCAACACCTTCAGTGGTAAAGCTGCCAGAATAGGAGTGCGTGTGCAAGAGAAGATGACAGAGAACGGAGAGAGTGGGCGTAGTAGAAATAGAGACAGAGCACGGAGAGAGAGAGAAGTAGAGAGGAGGAGAGTCGGAGAATGTGAGAGGAAGAGAGAATGAGAGGAAATCATGGAAGGCCGGCAGTTTTAGAACATTTGTAGTTAGGTGGTGACCTCTGATGTAGAAATTAAAGTGTAAACGTATGAAGTTTTAGGCACAACACTGCAGAGTGTTGACCTCTGGTGTAGGCACACAGAGTTTTTAGAGGCATCGTAGCCAGTGGCGCCCCTAGGATGACGTCACCTTGCACGGCCATATAAATACCAGAGCGCGCCCCAAAATGATCAGTTCTTGGTTTTTAGTTGTAACACCTTCACGTGTAGCTATTCTAGTAGTGGAGACGTTATAAGTATGAATGTGATGTACGTATAATGGGTAGGTTTTAGCAGTGTTCAGCTTGCAGACTTTATACACTTTTGTATGTGTGCATATACAAGTAGAGTGTGTGAATATATAATGAAGTGCTCATACGTGAAATAAACCTCTAGTGTGTTAACAATTCGGACTCTGAATGTTTTTGCTCTGTGCACTGACGCTCCAAGTAGCTGTTCAGCTAGCACGAAACAAACTGACGGGTTACAAACAACACAACGCAAGGAACATTAATAAACGCAAGACTTAGAACTCTTAACGCTCACTCCATACGTTTGGAGCGGCAACATCAAGAACCACACTTGACTATACGTTACGACACACACTTCATTTCATTGGTGCCGTGACCAGGATTCGACCCTGGGTTATTGCGGCCACAACGCAAGGTGCTAACCACTATACGATCACGGCGTGTGAAGTGAGCAAGATTAGCTGAGGAGGAAGACCTCGTATGCGGCTCAAGTGATACGACAGCAGAGATTACCGACATAACGACCGCTCCAACAAGGACACATCTGATGGTGCCCGCGGTCAGTTTACAGGAGCTTGTCGAAGCAGGAAGAGAAGTGAGCGTGATCACTCAGGAAGTCAAGGCAGATTTTAATAAGAATACAGACGCCAATAGCTATTTGGAGACCAGAAGCCGGCAGCTCGAGCGGGAGTATGGAAATACGACTTCCTCATCAGATGTTCAACGGCTCACAAATGACGAACATGATAATAGGGCGGAGACGTCAGGAGTCCATGTTGATATGCCATGTTTTTACTCTGTGCACTGACTCTCCAAGTAGCTGTTCAGCTAGCACGAAACGTACCGACGGGTCACGGACAACACAACGAAGGAACATTAATCAACGCAAGGCTTAGAACTCTAACGCTCACTCCATACATTTGGAGCGGCAACATCAAGAAACACACTTGACTATACGATACGACACGTGCTTCATTTCATTTGTAGTGATAAAGCTACAACAATCAGATTTGAAGTGTGTTGAACAACTTGAGAACGTGGTGGTAATAACTACTAGTATGACGTCTGGCATTTGCCAAGAAACATGTCAAAATATTAACATGGGTGACATGCAATTAAATGGGAAACGTTTAGAGAGTAGACGGAAGTAGTCTATAAAGTTGAGCAGCTTTATCTGGAATGGGTTAGGGTTCCCACAGTCATCCCTGGTTTGTAGAATGGCTGCAGGATACGCGTGCACTGCGTCTGGCATGCCCACACCCAAGCAGATAGCGTTGCCTTTTATTGCACACCCAATTAATTTTAATATAACTAGGTAACATCTCTATGATTAATTGTGTCGTAGATGGTAGTCGTAGGTAGATGTTGTCTTTTTTGCTTTCTTTGAAGTAATTTTGTAATACCTATCTTAAGGATCTTACAAAGTGCCGGCGAGATTTATCTTCTCAACTTACAACAGTGTTGACCGAATCAGCGGAAAAAAAAGAAAGAAACGCAACCTCAGCCTTAGGCTCAACAAACAAATGTAGCAGCAGAGATGAGGTAGGCATCTTCTGAATTGCTCAGATGTGTGGTTGTGGTACATGAGAAATGGTGACTATAATTTTATTGTAAATGCCTGTGAGAAACAAAACATTTCAATTGTTGTATAATTTTTTGCTATATCCTTAATGTGTTAAAGAAATGTAACTGTGCAATAAAACACTGTTAAAAAGTGAATACAATTGATATGACCTATATCTATGCAAAAATGAAATTACTTGTGTACTAGACGAGCCTTCCCCTACTACAAGAAGGCAAGTGGAAGGACCTCTGCATTGCAGCAAGACATTGCCGGCAAATGCACTACTAGTACCACTACTAAAGTCAGCTTCAAGATGTGCTGCCTAGCTGGCAACAGTGAATACCCCCCTGAAAGGGAAGAGGAGTGCACTCTTGCGAAAGCTGGTTTAGGTATATTTTTATACAGAACTCGCTTTGATGGGGTGTCTAGAATTTATAAACGTTTGTTGTCAGATGCCACCATACATGCTTTCGAAGTCTTAGATGTCCCCTGTAGGTAAGCTGGCTGTGTTAGGGCACAATGACAACGTGAGTGTACCCGAGTAGCATTTTATGTGCAGTGTGATCTGTGTTTTAGCCATTTGGGACATTTTGGTGGTCTAGATATATTCAGAAATGGAATGCCACTGGTAACAGTTACAATGTCAGACTACTTTTCTTCCAGACATGACTGATGCCTAGTACAACTATATGTTTGTCGTGTTTGTGTACATCTGTTATGTTGGTTTTTTAGGCTTGAAAACAGTGGACGTTGGATCTCAACTATCCCATCAAGAGTTCAAGTTGGTGGTAGAGAGCCACTTTCATAGGCTGCAACTCGCTAAAGGGAACTGGCTATTGTATAGACGCTCTGGGCGTAAGCAAAAAAGCTGTCTGGTAGAAATACCACCTGGGGCTGAAGGTTACACCCCCAAACATCTGACCGACACCCACTGCATAAAGTCAAAGATGTACATTTACATCATTCCGCTCGTTCAGCTTTCGTCAGAGCCGATGTCAGCTGAGGTAGGTGCAATGTGGCTATAAAGATGATGTAGATCCAAAGCACCACAAACCTATTTTGACATTTGTGGTTATGATGCGTTTTATTTTACTAACTATTAACTTTACTTGTTTTATTTTGAATACTTTTTTACTCATGACAGACTGAATAAATTATAACTTCAGGGAAGGTGGAAACCAGTCAATCATCCACCTATTGTTCTATTGTCATAAATACTTATTATAGTAGCCATATGGTGAAAATTTACAAATCAAGCCAATTACCAGTTTTAGTTAACAGGGAGCATGCACTCATAGCAACTGTTGCCACCCAGAGAGTGTGCTATTTGTCCGTTGAAGTGGGGGGGTGCCTGTTCCTGCCATGTACTGTGAGCATTACAAGGTGACGCCACAATGAAAAAGGGGAGAGACCGAGCTAGTGTAATATTACAGGTAGCAATAAAAATTGATTACTCCATTTTAGGAAAAACACAAGATCCATTGTCATATTATGCGTGCATGCACTAAAATTTGTATGATATGTGGATGCCGCCAAGCGGCTGGTCTGGGCCGGACCGCCGCGGAACGCGCGAAAGCGCGGCGATTCCAAGCCGGCGCACGGAGACGCAATCCGCAGGAGCCTCTACCACAGCCAGCAGGGGGAGCGTCCAGCCGCCCCTGAATTGCTGCGACGGGCGCCGACCCGAACGGTGGAACGGTCGTCCGCCGGCGGGCAAGCCTGTAAATAAGCGGCGGGTCCGGGACAATGTTCCGGTAGCCATTAATAAATGGACCGACCCATTTATTCCTAGCTGTTCATTATTGACTGCCACACGGAGACCTAGTCTTTTCGTACATATCCTTTATATAGTAAAAGAACAAAACGCCAGTCTCGGCAACCGAATGAGCTATAAAATATTTAATTAGACTAGTAAACTGCGCTCGACTAGTCAATGCCGCTCAGTTTGTAAACAGTGAACATTTTTAGGCCTGTGTTTGAAGTTTTGTGGTTTTTTTGAAACAATTTGTAGCTAATAAAAAGTAAATTGGAATGTATTTGTAATGTTTGCTTTTTATGGTATCTTTATTCTACTAAATTTTTCCTATGCAGGCACCAAATTTAAGATGACGACCACCAACTTGGCTTGGTGCTGACAAAATACAGGCCCACCAAAAAATTTATTACAGGCTTGGGGCAAGGGACGCTCTCACCACTTCCCTGGCTCGACCCCCACAGTTGCGAGGAGTCGCGAATATCACAAAGCCCGTCCCCACCCGCCACGCCGAGAAGAGGGCCGCAACAACTACGGTTCGGCCGCGCAGAGGCGACGCGCACGCGGTCGATCGCGACCGGATGTCGGCGCGGGGGCGTATGGATGTGCCGGCTGTGCGGGCGCTACGTTCCATCACGGTAGCCGGGCCTCGACGCGCACGTGTCGTGCACGCACATCAAATGCGTAGCCTGCGGCCTCCGCGTGGCCTTCAAGCGTCGAGCTCCGGGCGCACCACGAGATCGCCACCGGGAGGCCGAGCAACACGCCGGCCCTCACTCAACTTCCCCCGCCAAGTGGCGGGCTCGGGGCGCGCCGGAAAAGCGCCGGGCGATCAAGCCGGCGCACGGAGACGCAAGGCCCCGCCAAGCGGCCGTTCGGGCGCCGCGGAAGCCTGCGGAAAAGCGCCGGCCGGATCAAGCCGGCGGCACGGGGAGACGCAAGTCCCCGCCCAAGCGGCGGTGGGCTCGGCTGCGCGAAGCCGCGGGGGGGAAAGCACGGCATCAAGCCGGCGCACGGAGACGCATCCCCGCAAAGCGGCCGGCGTTGGGCGGCGCGAAGCGCGAAAACGCGCGGCGATCAGCCGCGCCACCGGACGCAATCCCGCCAAGCGGCGGTCGGGCGGCCGGACGCGCGGGAAAGCGCGGCGATCAAAGCTGGGCACGGAGACGCAATTCCCGGCCAAGCCGCGCGGTCGGGCGGCGCGGAAGCCGCGAATAAGCGGCGGCGATCAAGCCGGCGCACGGGGACGCATCCCGCAAGCGGCGGGCGGCCGCGGAAAGCGCGGCGATCAACCCCGGCGCACGAGCGCATACCCCGCAAGCTGGCGCAAAAGCCGACCTGCTTGCTTGGCTCCTCACG